AAGGCTGGAGGTTCAAACCCACCAGCCACTCCTCGGAAGGAAGGTTGGGGAATCTACTTCCATAGTGATACCACCTCGGAAACCCAAGGAGGGGTCGCAGTGAGTCGGCGTTGACTCGACGGTACATAACAACAACAGGGATAGGAAGGAGGGGGAAAGGGGATGGTTTTGTTTGGGGGGCATTGAGTTTATGCTTAATAGGTGGTGAAATATTTTGGAAAAGGATAGCAATAATGGTGGCACAACATGAAAAATGTAATCAGCGTCCCTTAGCTATAAATGTGGAAGTTGTTAATGTTGGCGAATGTCTTGTTGTGTTTTTGCCACAATGAAAAAAAAAAAAAAATTACAGCCTTGTAATTTTCATTTTGGGTTTGCTGTGAGCTGAAATTGACTTGATAGTATATAACAACAATGAGTTTTTAATAAAGCTACATTTAATTTAAAGAACACTTTATATTCAGAGGAAGTCTTCCTTGCCCTTTTTAAAAAAGCATTTAAATGCTCTTTCTTTCAGAAAATGGTGATTGTAATCGAGGGTGGTGATGACTGTGCAAATTATTGTAATTGTTGTTTTTATATCCTTTCTTAGCAAAATAAAAAACTGGTAATGATGTGTCCACATTGTGGTTTCATTAGCAGGTAAAATCTGAAAGTAGAAAAACCACTAATTTAGGTCATTGGTTTCGCACTGCTACTCTGAGCCTTCAGGTTCCTTAGGGTCCCTGCCTTAGAAAGTGAAAGGGAGACTCAAGGCCCTTTGCCCCTTGGGCAATCAGAGAAGCTGTACTTCCATGTAATATACAGTTAGCCCCCTGACTTATTGAGGAACCATACTTACCACTGTCTTTTTGTTTTGTATATTTTATCATTAATAATATGTACTACGTACAGTTTTGTGGTGCATAATTTGCTGATGCTATCATTCTAGTGTGAAATTCTAAAGACAAATAAAGATCAGATTTATAAAGATACTGATAAGGCAATATTAATGAAAACTTAAAAAAAAAGATGAGGTATTTGACTTATGTCAGGACCGTGTTAAGATGGCGTTGTTGGAACAGAACCCTGTCATATGTTGAGGACTTCCTGTATTAAGTTTCCTGCATGATTTTATTTGGAAAGAAAACATTGTTCCTGCCATAAGTTGGAGGCCCTCTCCTCTAGGCTGTGTGTGTGGTGGTGGGGGGGGTGGGTTGGAAGTGGGTGGGATTCTGCTGCTTTCGAAGGGCTGAGCCAGGTGGGTCTTTCTCTGGCAAATATTTCTTTCTTAGTCAAGTCCATGATGGAACTGCCCTTGAGGAGACAAGACTGTATACTTAGGAAGAGATTAAGAATAAGGCCATTTATATTTTAAGTGGTAATTTATAAAGAAGGAGCTCTGGTGGTGGTGTACCTGAGGCATCTGACTGCTAACCAGAAGGTTGGCAGTTCAAATCCACCAGCTGCTCCATGGAAGGAAGATTGGGCAATCTACTTCCATAAAGATTTAACACCACAGAAACCCAAAGGGGTTCTCTATGAGTCAGAATTGACTCGATGGCAGTAAATTTGGAGTGGTTTTCTTTCTTTATTTTTTTTTTTAAATAAAGGTGAAACATTAAAAAGTATTTAGAAAGGATCAGGGAATGAGAGGTGGAGAGTTCTGAGGAGTTTTTCTGATAGAGGCTAAATAGGAAGTTTCAGATTTAGTGAGGATGGGGAAGACTGGGACCAGAGTGAGAATTCCCCCATAATAATAATACTGGTATTTCTCTAGGACTCTGAGTTTACTAAGGGTTTTCATGTGCATTGTTTCATTTGATGCTTACAGCAACTTTGTAGCCCTCACTCTGTGATTTTCAGCTAAAAAGTTGAAGCTCCTTTGATCCAGAGAGGTTAAGTGATTCATCAGAGGCCTCACAGCTTGCAAATAGCAAATGGCAGGGCAAGGCCTTCTCACTCCAAATTCTTCCTGTTCACAATGTCCCATCCCTGCTTAATGAGATCTGTGTGAATGTGTGAGGATAGAGTGTGGGAGTGGGGAGTACTCCAGAAGTGATAGAATGAATATGTTTTGTTCCCCCAGAAATCCTTTAAAAAAATAAACAAAACACCATTGGTATCAAGTCAATTTCAACTCATAACAACTCTATAGGACAGAGTAGAACTGCCCAATAGGATTTCTGAGACTGTAATCTCTACAGAAACAGACTGCCACGTCTTTCTCCCTTGGAGTAGCTGGTATGTTTGGACTGCCCACCTTTTGGTTCGAAGCTGAGTGCTTAACCTACTGCTCCACCAAGGCGCCTTAGAAATCCTTTAAGTGATGAAAATTGTTCCTCTCTCTCCCTTCTGGGTCCCCCTTTTGCTCCTGACTGGCCTCATTAACTCCCATTTTATTGTTTTCTCTTCTCCCCTTTCTCTAGACCCGAATGCAGAGTCTGCAGCCAGATCCCAAAGCCCAGTACACAAGTGTCTATGGAGCCCTCAAGAAAATTGTTCGGACTGAAGGGTTCTGGAGGCCATTGCGGGGCATCAACGTGATGGTGATGGGTGCGGGTCCTGCCCACGCCATGTATTTTGCCTGCTATGAGAACATGAAAAGGACTTTAAATGATGTTTTCCACCACCGAGGAAACAGCCACCTAGCCAATGGTATTTTGAAAGCATTTGTCTGGAGTTAGAAAGCTCTCTTCTTCAACAGACCCTTCCCCAGGGTGCTCTTCCCTGTGACCCAGCAGCCTAACGCCTCGTCTTCGGCTTGCTTATGAATAAAGAACTCTAGCGCTGTGTGTGTGCACCCACCCAAATACAGACACACACATACACACTTTTTTCCATTCCCCTCCTTCACTTTCTGAAGCTTGGGGAAATTGGTGACAGAGGTGTTTCAGTTTTTATTGTTGTGTGGGTTTTTTTTTTTTTTTTTCAAAAGCAATTAATGATCAGACATAGAAAAAACCCTGAATAGAAACAAAACTTATGAATGCTGGATTCAGAAAAAAAGTTATCTGGACAACTTCTTTGAGACTATTTAAAAACTGGTACAACAGGTCTCTACAACGTCAAGATCTAACTAAGCTTTAAAAGGTCAAGAAGTTTTATGGCTGACAAAGGATTTGCTCCAGCACAGACGACCTTTCCCACCTTAACGCTTCTGGGGATTTGGGAATTTTACCCTCGTTCTTTTCCGTTTGTCTGAGTTGCATGTCTCTGCGAGCAAGTGCTCAAATAGTTTTGTTGTGAGGGGGAGAGATGGGCGGTTGGGGGTTGTGAGTTTGCACACAGCTCTTACATAAGGCATGTTTTACTGGGCCAGGCAGAGCGGTTCCTTTCCTCTTGGGTGGGTTTGGCTTTTGTTGCTTTTTGTCTGGGTGTGGAATGGGAATATGGATAGCAGCAAAGGGGTATACTTATTTTGGCAAAATTGGTTTTTCAAGAATGGAGTAGATATGACCAGGAACAATGTTTTTCCCTTCTATTTTTGTTCCATTCAGTGAGGACCGAAAAGCACCCCTTCCATCAGCAAATTTGGGTAATAATAAATGCAGCTGGCTGGTTTTCAGACATTTAATCTGGTCATTCATTGTGTTTAATGTGAGATGGTTGCTATGAGCCATACTCTAATGCTGTCGCTGAATTCTTATCATGTTGCTGAGGGTGGGGATTTCCTTTTCATGAAACTGCCTTATGTAATAGTTTTGCCCCTTGGTCACTGAACTCCTTGAATGGGCTTTGACAGAACCTAGTTTCTACCAGGCTCTGCCCAGTGCTGTTCCTGCAACATTGTGGTGTGTGCTGTGGTTGATTTTGACCTTTCTTAGATAATTGTAAGTGTGTGTGGATGGGAAGGGATATATGCATTCCTAAAGAGTTATCCTGCTGTCCCTCTTGATCTTCCTACCTTTCAGTGGTCATTTTAATCACTTGTCACCACAGAGGAAGGAAACCCAAAGCCAAAAGTAAATTCCCAGGCCTGCTTCAGGCTTCTAAAGGTGCCTGGTTTTTGAAGCCAGGCCAGGTGAGACCTCCAGATGGGGTCTGCCATCTCCTGAGGCAAGTAATATCTTTGAAAAATTACCCTGGAAATCTGCCACGTGCAAGTCTTTCAGACTTCCTCTTCCCTTGCCTCTCTTCTTAAAAATTGGTTGGATTTCACTAAGGAAATTCTCTTAAAAGATTTCCCTTCTGATTCTGCACTCCCATCCCTGCCCCCACGAGTTCTGGTAGCATAGTGGCTAAAGCACTTGACTACTAATCAGAAGGCTGGTGGGTCAA